TTCAACTCAATTAGCAGTGATTTAGAGTCCCATGCTGAGTACTGAAGAAGTGAGATTCAAAGCCTAGAGAAGAAATGATCTTTATTCCCACCTAAAGCAGATATAATGCCCTGGAAGCTTACCGTTGAATAGAGATGAAGAAAGCGAAGCTCAGAGAGTTCAAATTACCTGCCTGAGACCAAAAAACATAGTTTGTGGCACAGCATGACCTGAAATCCAATTCAAATGGGTACAGTTCTCTTTGCATCCTACCATTCTCCTTCCATCCAAGCTGGTTGAACACAATGAAATAAAATTGCCTTCCAAGATAACTATCTATGCCTTATAAGGAGAAAAAATGTTTGGTATCTGCCTGCCCCATCTCTAGAACCCACCTCATTCCAGAATGAAGGGAAGGACAGCGAGAACAAATAGCCAAGGGAGTAACTGTGAAGGAAAGGGAGAGGGGGAGAGAATTCACACACAGAGTCTCCCAGGTCTTCTCTGAAGGCATGTGCATTTTTCACATTTTTTCAGTTTTACGTGTTGGACAATTTATCTCTCTCAAACATTACCCGATTCTAAAAGCAGACTTTGAAATTATGCCTATGTTGATAATTATACATGTAGTTACATGTGTATGTCTTCAACTTAAAATAATATTGTGTTACATATAAGTGAAAAATAAAATTTAAATTGAAAAAAGAATAGAGGACCCCTTATACTTTTCAGTGTGCCCAGATTTTGCAAAATGCTTTCACATAGTAGATGTGCAGTATAGTAATGATGTTAAAAGTGCAAGTATATACTATATACAAGTATATAGTATAAGTACACTTATACTTCTGGTTAGATTTCTCTCCACCCCCCCAGCCACAAAAATGACCCTGTATTTAGGTCTTCTATTAGTTTATTTTATTGGGGAAAGTGCCCCTCTTGCCCCTAAACTGCCAGGTGACATTTGGCAATGTCTGAAGACATATTTGGTTGTCACGGCTTGGGGGGGGGGGCGGTTGGGGCTATGGGTATCTAGTAGGTAAAAGCCAGGATACTGCTAAACATCCTATAGTGCACGGAACAGACCTCACGACAAAGAGTTATCCAGCCCCAAATGTCAGTAGGCCAAGGTTGAGAGATAGCTAGCTGTCTGTTTAATAAGTAAAAACAAATGGACAGCAACCTTTCCACTTCTCCATTTTTTTAAACATAAATAAGGCATAAATCAAAATAGTACACCAAAAAATTGCATCAAGAATCACAATTTCAGCAATCAACTCTTAAGAGAAATAATTATTTAATGGGACAACTTACAAGATCAGAAGTGTTCATTAAAAGCTGGAAGAAAATACAAATTTAAACACATATGTACTTGAGTAAATAATGGAAAGCTTTCATGAAAGGGACTGTTCTGATCTTTACTTTGAAACTCAGGATATTCCAAACTTCTAATGTGAAACATTCTGCTGATGAGGCATCTTAAAACCACCACTGTTCTCCTAATTCAGTCATGGAACTCCCACTTCAGGCTGTTTCATTATTTCTAACCTCACTCCAAATTCACCTTTTGGACTAGCACACAATGACAAAAATGTATGGTTTTTGTTTGTCACTAAGGTCGTCAAAAAACTGCCTTCACTATCAGCCCTTCCTTTTTACGTCTGCCCATCTTTCCCGTGTTAGGTTTACCTGGAAGGCCCAATATTAAAGCCTGGATTCCCTATTATGGCTGTAGGAATCATTCCTTCAGTCCTATATTCCTCTCTCTGACTTGTGTCGTGGAAGAAACTGTGGTAAAGCTATACAAACAGCCTGATAATGTCTTTAAAATTAACAAGGAATTTAAAAAATTGAAGAGAGAGAAATGCACCCAAACTTATCCTATAAAGCTAACATTACCTCAAAAGGAAGACCAAAGACAAGGCAAAAATAAATAAATAAATGAAACCACAGGCAAATATCCTTGATGAACAGAGACACAAAAATCCTAATAAAATATTAGCAAACCGGATTCAATAATACAGTAAAATGATTATATACCATGACCAAGCGGGATTCATCTCTGAAATGCAAGGATGGTCCAACATCTGTAAATCAATTGGTGTGATACATCATATTAACAAAATAAAGAATAAAAACCATATGGTCATTTCAATAGAGAGGGAAAAAGCATTTGGTAAAATTCAGCATCATTTTATGATAAAAAAATTTCAAAATACTGGGTTTAGAAAAAACATATCTCAGTACAATAAAGGCTATTTATGACAAACCCACAGCTAATATCACACTTAATGGAGAAAAAGTGAAATGCTTCCTCTAAGATCAAGAATAAGGTGAGGATGCCGACTATCACTACTTCTAAACACAATATTAGAAGTGCTAGCCACAACAATCGGAAAAGAAAATGAAATAAAGAAGTCTAAATCAGAAAGGAATAAGTGAAACTCATTATTTGAAGATGATATGATAATATATGAATATATGGAAAAACCCAAAGACTCTGCCATAAAACTATTAGAACTAGTAAATGAATTCAGTAAATTTGGAGGATTCAGAATCAATATACAGAAATTTGTTTCATTTCTATACACCAATAACAAATAATCAGTAAGAGAAATTAATAAAACTGTAACATTTATAATTGCAATAAAAAACATAAAATATCTGGGAAGAGGTGAAAGACCTGTACTCTGAAAATTATGATATTGAGGAAGATACACATAAAGGGAAAGATATATCTTGCTCATGGATTGGAAGGATTACTATCATTAAAATATTCTCACTACCTAAACTAATATACATATTCAATGCAATCCCTATCAAAATACCACAGGCATTTTTCTCAAAATTAGAATGACTAGTTTTAAAATTTATATAAACCCCCAAAAGATCTAAAATAACCAAAGAAATCCCGAGAAAGGACAAAGTAGGAGGTAGCATACTTCCTGATTTCAAACTATACTACAAAGCTATAATAATCAAAATAGCATTAGTATTGGCATAAAAACAAATATGTAGATAGATCAATGGATAGAATAAGGAGCCCAGAAATAAATCCTCACTTATATAGCCAATTAATCTATAACAAAGGAGACAAGGAAATATATACTACGGGATAAAGACAGTCACTTCAATAAGTGGTACTGGGAAAACTGGACAGATACAATAAAAAACATAAAACTGGACCACTTTCTTACACCATGTACAAAAATAAACTCAAGAAAAAGTAAAGAATTAAATGTAAGACCAAAACCCATAAAACTCCTAGAAGAAAACAGACAGTAAACTCTTTGAGAAACTTCTTAGAAATGTATTTTTAAATATATCTGCTTGGGCAAAGGCACAAAAGAAAAATAAACAAATGGGACTACAGAAAACTAAAAAGTTTTTGCACAGCAAAGGAAACCATCAACAAAACAAAAAGACAACCTACTGAATGGGAGAAGATATTCCGAGCGATACATCTGATAAGGGGTTAATATCTACAATACTGGGTTGGCTAAAGAGTTTGTTTAGGTTTTTCCATAAACTAAAAGATACATTTTTAATTTTCAGCAATAACTTTATTAATTTGGATATTTTGAGTATGTTGGCTATCTTCCACATGGTATAATGCTAATTATCCTCAATTACTGTCTTGATTTGATCACTATAGACTTCAACTAGTCTACCCAACCATGGAGCATTGTCCAGCAAGAAATCTCCAGTATGAAACTCTGCAAACCACTTTTGACACATTTGATCAGTCACAGTACCTTCTCAATACACTGCACAAATTTTTTTTTGCACTTCAGTTGCATTTTTACCTTTCTTGAAATAATAAAGCATAATATGCTGAAAATGTTGTTTATTTTTTCCATCTTCAATATTAAAATGGCTATGCAAAAATTCACCAATATAATCTAACAAAATTGTTTCAAATGAAGCTAGACAACTAAGTGCTATTGAAGCTGTCTTATGGAGAAAACCAAACTTTTTGGCCAACCCAATATAAGAATTAATATAACTTAACATCTCCTAAAACAAACAATCCAATTTAAAAAATGGGCAAAGAACCTGAATAGACATTTCCCCAACAGGACATACAGATGGCCCATAGACATATGAAAATATGTTCAACATCACTAATTATCAGGGAAATGCAAATTAAAACCACAATGAGATATCACCTCATACCTGTCAGAAGGAGTATCATCAATAAATCAACAAATAGCAAGTGCTGGTAATAATGTGGAGAAAAGGGAACCCTCGTGCATTGTTAGTGGGTATTTAACCAAAGAAAACAAAATGCTACTTCATATGGCATATGCACCCCTATGTTCATTGTAGCACTAGTATTATAACAGCCTAGGTATGAAAGCAATCTAGACACACACACACACACACACACACACACACACACACACACACTGGAATATTATGTAGCCATAAAAAGAATGAACTCTTGTTATTTACAACAACAAACATGGATTGACCTAGAGTATCTTATGCTAAGTGAAATAAGTCAGACAGAGAAAGACAATTACCATATTATTTCACTGATATGTGGAATCTAAAAACAAAACAAAAGAGAAATAGAACCATAAATACAGAAGAAAAACTGATAGTTATTAAGAAAGGAGGAGAATAGAGAGATGAGAATAAAAAAAACACAATTAAAAAAAACATGAACAAGGGAAAGCAAGTAGAGGGAGCTGCTGATTTTTCTTTGCATTTTGTCATAGTTTCCTTACATAGTCTCTAGCTGATGTAGTTGCAGTTGCTAAGTTTTATTTGCTTGTTCATTTTCCCCAGTGGCTGATCATACTGGATACTTTGGTTGTCTGGCAGACACTTAAATAAAAACTGCTTTCTTTGAGGGGACAAATTAGTTCTTTTTGGGAATCAACTGACAGAAGCATATAACCTCAGGAGATTCCTTGAACATACCAGAGTAACTAATCTGTTGAATATTTTGTGTGTTGAGTTAAACATGTCACTACTGAGACCCTCACACATTGGTTAACAACTTTCTAAATATTTACCAAGATCTTTAATAAGTGAGAGTGCTTCCCATGATATAAAGGCTCCACCACCATCATCCATGGCACCCTGCCCAACATCCCAGCTGTCCAGATGTCCACTGACCAGTACAACCTAGAATAACAAAAAGAGACAAAAATAAGACTAAGCAGAAATGACATTATAAAAGAGGAAGATTTATAAGCATTCAAATACAGAAATGAAACTTTTGTATTTTTTCTATTCTTATGCCTTAAAATATCTATGTCATTACTAGTGGAAAACTTAGTATAGAGGTCTTACACAAAAGGATGTAAGGTCATCCTAATAGTAATTCAAGTTCTCATCTTATACTTCTCTTTATCAATATAATTTGGAATACTAAGAAAAATGGCTTATTACTGACAGATGTTTGACAATTTTATTATATGACACAAAAATGGAGCTCAGAACTTCAACTCTATTCTCAACTGTCCAAAATTCTAACAGTCACATGATAAACATGTGTTAAATTAAATTCAAATGAAAAAATAAAAACAAAAATTTATTTAACAAAGTGATTGTATTTTGTGCATTTTAAATCACTCTGGTGTTGAATAAATAAATTGCTGAAGCTACAAACTAAATTCTAGTTAACAGAAAACTTTTAAGAAAAATTTCAATTTACATTAGTGTGAAATAATTTATAGATTATATTATAGATTTAAATCATTGTAGGTTTAAAAGTTTTGAGAATCATTAGTAATTCTCTCCAGGAAAAAAAAGTTTGATGGAACTACATTTTATGGTTACATTTTAAAGAAGCTTAAAATTAAATAAAATGATGCTGGGTTAGTATGTCCACATGGGAAAAAGTATCTTCGTTGCTGAGTTATTATCCAAAATAACCTATTGTTTCTCAGTACCTACAGTATGTCATGGACTATGCTTGCTTAGAAGAACTGAAAAGGATTCCCAACTGCAAAATGGGGAGGGCTGAGCACAAAGACCAAAGTGCCAGGTACAAAGACCAGGATGGTGATGGGGCATCATCGCCAAGGGCCAAGTGCAACAGAAGAATAAGCATGCATTCTTAAAAGAATTTAATGACTCCACGTCACAGCCTATAAATACAGAGGCTCATTGCCAGCTGGGGAGAAGGTGCTGTTAGAGCATGATCTCACCCTTCTCTATTGCTTGATCAAAGAATAAAGTTTCTGCCCTGCTTTACTGAACTCAGGCACGTTCTATTGGCATGAATGGCACTGGGCAGAAGGACCTCGGTTCAAGTCCCTAACCTGGAAGAGTTGATAACATCTTGATCTCTGTATCATATTACATATGAATATTAAGTCAGATGAATTATAAATCTAAACAAAAGGGTTAGGGGAAAGTGTAGAACTTCTTTGTCAACTTGGAGTAGAAAAAGATTTCTTAAACTGGATTCACAAAGTAGAAACCATAAAAGAAAAAATAATGAACTGGTCTTTTTAAATATTAGGGATACTTGTTTATCCAAAGACCCCGCTGAAGAGTGCAAAGGCAGCCCACAGAAGAGGAGAAAATACTTCCAGTACACATATGAAACAGAGGACACATCTCCAGTATGTAGAATTCCTAATAAACACCAACAAAAAGAAAGCCAACTGATAGAAAAATGAACAAAATATTTAGACAATTTACAAACATAAATTTAAAAATTATGAGTAATCATATGAAAAGTGCTCAGGTTCATTATCATCAAAGGAATTTAAATTAAACCACATCCAGTACATATTAACCGAAATGACCAAACAGAAAAACACAGAAAGTGGCAAATACTGGGGAGGAGGTGGAGCAGCCGGAACTCCCACACATTGCTGGGGGGAGTATATGTACACAACCGCTCTGAGAAACTGGCTTATCTACTAAATTTGGACACACACACACCCTATGACCCAGAAATTCCACTCCTATGGAAATATCCAACAGAAATGTTGTGTGTGTATATAGTTTCACCAAAAGAGATGGCCTTGAATATTCATAATCGCCTCTATGTCCTTCTCAAGAAGGGAACTATTGACAGCAGAATGAACGACTCCTGTCGTATGGATCGATGCAACACTGCACAGCAGGAAGAACGAACAGGCACCATGCATGGTGAATGTACATGAATCTCATAAATGTAACAAAGAATGAAAGAAGCCAGACAAAATAATATACCATGTATAATTCCATTTGTATGAAATATAAAGACAAGCAAAATAAGAGCAGTCCCCTGGGCAAAGAGGGTTGGTGACAGAAACTACAAGGAGAGTTTCTGAGATGCTCGGCATGTTATAGTTCCTGATCTGGGGACCAGTTACACAGATGTGCTCAGTTTGTAAAAGTTTGTTTTGTTATACATTTAGGATTTGTGTACTTTTCTCTTAGAATATTACACTTCCATAAAAAGTTAAAAAAAAACAAGCTCATCAGAATTGATGTCTATGTTCAGGATGTAGTAAGTCAGTCAAAGTTAAACAAACCTTCTTGAGGATTAACGAAACACCCATGACTTTGGGAAAGCAGGCTTTTGGGTTGGAACATCAGGGTGACCCCTTGCACTGCTTGCCTCCCCAAGCAGCTGCATGGTCTCCCATTGACTCTGTATATACAGCCAGACCCAGCCTACTATGACTTCACTGTAGTCACAAACAAGCACAGTATCCGGCCCAACAAATGGCCATGTAATGAACCCAAATGGATTGTTTCTAAGGAAAAGAAAAAAAAATTGCAATAGCCAGAAACTCTGATTCAGAAAGTGGTGTAATCTCATGTGGAATGAACATTAGTCAACATTCCCACCACCCTCAGAACCACTTTCCCAGTGAAATTAAAGTTCCAGTGGAGAGAAAGTGTCAAAATATGTTTTAATAAACTTTCTCCAATAACAATAAGAGTAATTCAATGAAGGCAGCTATTATTTTATCCTTCAGATTTCTTTCAGAATAACTGAGGTTGTTTTAAAATCACATTTCTTCATGTTTTAGGTAATGTTTCCATTTCAACTAATAGTCAAAAGATGGGAAATGGTTTTGAATAATAGGAAATTAAACGATATCCCATAACACAATGTCTTTGGCACAGTGCTGTGGAAGAATGATCACGAACCATTTAGATTATAAGAGCTTGTTTTAATATATTTTTAAATCAGAAAAAAATTGAGCACTACCATGAGATAGTAATTGCACTTTTAATATTGATTGATTGAAAAACTAAGTAATGACAACAAGCTCCTTCAAATTCAGTGGAATTTTTAATGAACTTGAATTTTCCTAACCATAACAGCAGCTTCAACATACACTTAGGAATAATAGTGCACGAGGTCTCCTTCAATGTGGTGTCTGGCTAGCATGCCTTAATGCAGCCCCACAAAGGATAACCCAGCAAAACATACAAACTCACCATGTCTTATGTCTGGGTCAGGCAGAAATGAATATTAATTATAATATATTTGCATCTGATTTAAGCATTCAAAAAACAAAAGGCTACCCAGAGATACTGTAAACCCCAATTCATGACAAAGAACCACTTGATAAAAGATAGGCCAATGCAGAGTCCCTTCACTGCCTCTCTCTCCAGATGTAGACAGAGTGCTCCTACAGCAATGACATGGCCTAGGACCAACAGAGAAGCCAGGCATCCACCCTTCCACCTGCCTCGTGTGCTGCTGGGAGGCCGGCAGAGCACTGAGCAATCCCCCACCCTCCAACTTCCTCTTCACCGCCATCTCTTCTGTATGCAGTAGAGAATTAACAATTATTAAGACAACAGAAACAACAATAGCAGCCACAACAAAACAGCAGCTAGCAGGGCAGAATGGGAACCGTGCTGCTCTGAAGTGTTGAGTTTGTGATTTGTGAGGCACATGGTAGCCCTGACTATCAAAGATTCAGCCTTGGGCGAAGGGCGAAGAACCCAGAGCAGCAGGCCAGAAATGCACAGGATAGAGGCTGCTATGGTGAAGGGTTAGCCCGCTGGTGACACAAAATCACCTGCAGGCCAGCTGTGCGTGTGAGAGGAGGCAGACTGAACCCAGGGTAGAGAGAGAGCAGCCCCAAGGACAAGCCCTTCAGTTCTTTGTTATTGGAGCTTACAGTGTCACTGAGTCCACATAGATTTGCCTGATTAAAAGATAAAGTAGAGCATGATCATTTTGGGACATGCAAAAAGTATGGCAGAGCAAGGAAGAGGAAACAGTCCCATAGGACATATGTTCTTATGACAATAAGCTAATGCTTATTAGAGAAAATTTCCTGATCTTTGGCATTCATCAATCCATTTAGTCAATGATTTTTATTGAGTTTTTACCATGTGCTAGAGATACAGAAGTGAATGAGCAAATATTTTTCTTCAGTGGAATTTATATTCTGATGAGGGAGATGGACAATAAATAAATACAATATAGGGATAGTTTTAAGTGCTGTTTAAAAATGTCAGGAAGAGACTAGAGATTGGTGGTGGCAGAGAAAGGAAAAAATCAGTCTGTTTCTTCTTAAAATGTAGATAGCCACCAAAGACGTTAGTCTCCATTCTAACGGTGGAAGACACCTGATGATGGATAAAATCAGGACTTTCATCAAACCTACTAGAGAGGTGAGATCACAAGTAAACTGGAGAAAATGAATCCCAGAAGATAGCGAGTCCATCCAAGGAGAGATGGGGCACAGCCAAGGGGAGATGGAGTTTGCCTTTAGCAGTGCCGGTGTGTGGCAGCTGGGATGAGGGGAGAAGTAATAGTCATAAATGCAGGAAGGAAGAAGACAACTAAAAATGTTAACAAATTCTTAAAGGGTGAATGTGGGTTCACATGAAAGTTTAGAAACCCTGGGAACTTCTCATATAAGGACAGTAGGTACCTGTTTCCCTGATCTTTTCTACAGGTCTGGTCAGGTGCTCACAAGAAACATCGGCAGCAGGTCGGAAGCCATGGTGGAACCCGCCTTGGTGAGGCAGATGGTGACAGATGCTGCTGGGAGGCAGGCAGCAAACATACCTGGCCCCAGGACCCTTCTCTCTGAAGGAGACACAGAAAACTGTCCTGCAAGGCAGCCCCAGGCACGGGGGAAGAGGTAGAAAATTGCACCCCAACTCTGCACTGACTCTAGGAAAAACACGTGTGCCCCTGGGGGAGC